AGTCCTTGGCATATGTCAGTGACATACCAGGGATAAATATTTTAAGGAATATATTAGTCAATAGTACAATGGATTTATTTCACTGTGCTAAAAATACTAACATAATTAGACTCTCCATGTCATCTTTAAAATATTAATTATTTTAAGTCAAATCGAAAACTATTTTAAATCAAATTTTGAAAATACTATAGACAAAACAACATCACCAAAGAGAATTTATAAAACTTTGGTGCTTGGCTTCATGTACCTGACTTTCTGTGGAACTCATACCACTATTTACAAAACTGGATATGCCTCTTTAATAAGAAGTTGATCAGACTAAAATATTTGAAGAATTATACAATGGATTGATCCTCAATGTCTAACATGGAAATTATTTTAATGAATACTTACTATGCTGTATAGTATAACTGTACACATTCACCACCCTGATGCCTCACCCCCCTCCACACACACACACACACACTGCAACTTTTTTCCTTCTTTTAAAACAAGAAAAGAAAACCAGAATGTATTCATCCAGACCTCCTCCCAAAGCCTTATTTTCCAGTAGAAGCTGACTCCATCTCCCAGGTCCAGAACAAAAAATTAGTACATGCATTTCCCTGCAGGTTGTTATTGGCCCATTGGTCCTGGTTGGGAAAGGGAGACCAACATTGGCTCGATCAACCTGAAGGGAAGGATGCATCCTGCACGAGAGAACAGCAGTGTGCTCCCTTGCAAGGAGCATATAGAAGGAAGCACACAACCCTGACTGCCCCTGCAGCCACCTCGGACCACAAGGAAAATCAGCCTTAGGCAGGAGCTGATGCTGTGATTGGCCAGAAATGAAAAGATCACAAATCCTCCATAATATCTCTGGGATACTGAGCATCCATGCTTTTGCATTTCTGAATTTCTCATTATGTGAAATATTACCTTAAATAAAGTACTTTTTAAGCAGGAAGAGTTTGTTTTTGAGTATCAGATAACACTTGGAGCTGAAGGCTTCTCAACTGATAATTTGATTATTAAAAGTGGGGTGCAAAAAAAAAAGTGGGATGCTACTAATTAAAGAATCTTAAAGGTTTTATTTTATAAACAGGAAACTAAAGCTCAAAGAGATTAAATATACACAATAAGGTCAAGCAACTAAAATTACAGTATAATTATTTAATGGGTTATTATACAACAGTGAAATTAAGTAAACTATAGCCATGTTCTACAATAAGGATATATTAATATCTCAGGAACAAGATGATGAGTGAAAAAAGGATGAAGAATACATTCTACAGGTTCCATTTATTTTAAATCCAAAACAAGCAAATCTAAACAATGTGCTGTGTGGGGATATAAACATATGTTACAAATTCATAAAGAAAGCTGATCATCGGCTAAGGCTGCAGTGCGAGTCACAGGAGCAAGTAGGGAGAACAGAGGAGGAATACACAGTACACAGGAGATTCCAAAGGCAATGGCTGCTTCTTAAAATATATGCTGGCCACATAACAGTTATAATCATATTTAATAATTGTTACGTTTCTTTTAAGTTACATAAGGCCTGGTGCATGAAATTCATGCACGGAGCCCGGGAGGGGGGTGGGGTTGTCCCTCAGACCAGCCTGCACCCTCTCCAATCTGGGACCTCTTGAGGGATGTCTGAGTACCTAAAGTTAGTACCTGATGGGATCGGGCCTAAATGGGCAGTTGGACATCCCTTTCATAATCCAGGACTGCTGGATCCCAACTGCTTGCCTGCTTGCCTTCCTACTTGCCCCTAACCGCTTCTGCCTGCCAGCCTGATCACCCCCTAACCACTCCCATGCCAGCCTGATTGATGTCTAACTGCTCCCCTGCCAGCCTGTTTGCCCCCAACTTCCCCCCTCTGCCGGCCTGGTCTCCCCTAACTGTCCTCTCCTGCAGGGTTGATCACCTCCAACTGCCCTCCCCTGCTGGTCATCTTGTGGTGGCCATCTTGTGTCCACATGGGGGCAGGATCTTTGACCACATGGGGTAGCCATATTGTGTGTTGGAGTGATGGTCAATCTGCATATTACTCTTTTATTAGATAGGATTCATTGGTATATACTTAACATTTAATAAAAGATCACAGAAAACATGCACTGTCCTATCCTTTTTCATTTGTCACTACACATGACAACAGTGAACATACTATTTTCTTCTTAGTGAGAAAAATTACATGATAAAATTTTTTTAAGGAATTAGTTTTAAAACTATAAAAATGATAAAAAATGTTTTCAATCAAACTTCTTAAATTATCTTAAGCTTATACATAACTGTATTTGCCAGAACTCATTAAACTATAGTTAATCTAAATGTCAAAAACATACAGAAAATCCCAAAGTCATTCGAAACACACATCTAATTCTTCATAAGGTACTATTATCTGATGCTTGGCCCAGCATCTTCAATTACACTGCAACCATGTAAATGTCTGTCTGTATACTTCCTTTCACTGAGCAACAGTCATTTACTGAACCAAGGGGTCAACATGGGCAAAGGCAAAAAAGCCAGTCAAGGCCTGGCCTGAAATTCAGGCTGAGATGGAATATGGGAGAAGATGAAGAGGCGAGTAAAATTCAACTGCAGAATACCTCCCAGTTATGGAATGAGATCTCTTTTCTCACTGCAGAAAACTGGTGATGTGACAGCACTTATATAACACGCACGCCCCTGAGGAATGCCCCACATGATCACAAAGATCATCGGTGAAGGGTTAGGGCTAGGCCTCCACATGTATGGGAGAGATGTCAGTGACGGGGGAGGTGTAATCTTTGAAACCTTTTGCCCTACCCAACATTACAACATTGCTGATCACTGCAACAGATTTTAAGATTGATGGGCATTTACGATACTGTGGAAGATATATCAGAAGGACAAGACTGGATAAAGGAATATTTATTAGGCAGTTATTGAATTAGTCCAGGAAGGGGCTTACAGTTGAAAAGGAGAGGGAACTTTAAGGCGAGGTAGGGGGACTCAAGAAATAAAAATTATGGGATGAGCAAGAAGAAAAAGTCCTCCTCGCTGTTAGATAACACAGGCATATGTAGCATGAGAGAGAGTGAGGGAGAGGGAATGAGGAAGACCTTGCAAGGTTTGGGTGCTACTTTTCTCCAAACTAAATACTTGGCCCTACAGTGTCTGCTGGTGTCATTAAGTGAAAACTGATTGACAGCATGTTCTGAGAGGCAATACGGCATAAGGAAAGATATGGAAACTTTGCAATGAGGCAAAATGAGTTCAAATTCCAGTTCCATAACTTACTATGTGATCTCAGGGGCAGGTAAGAAGGGCAGCAAAGGGGAGATTTCTATTTCTGCTCTCACTGCACCTCCTTCTTCCTTATTCAGATCCACTAACCTTGACATCAAAGCTTATTACTGCACATACTCAGATGACCAGACTTTTTGGAAATGTGATGTAGAATCCTAAAATTATAAAATGTTAGGAGCAGAAAGATGAAAAACCGACTTTAAGGAGTTCTGTGGTTGGCCCAATATCTATCTTTTAGTTCATTCAGTGGCAAAACAACTAGGTTTTTGAATTCCCAGCCCAGATTTCCCTCCCCTGTATGCCATAATTTAAACTCCCCCAAAATATAATTAAATAATTAATGGGGACTAACACTTTATCATTTGTCATCAAAAGCAAATTTCCATGAAGTCCTAAATCACGCTCTGTTTTCCAAGTATGCTATTAATTCGGCATTCAGTATGAAATAATACTGAATTATATCATTCTTTTTGTCAGAAAGATGATTAAATCTGATGGGTGGGAATAAGAGCAGTCCATGATCACTCACATAGGCATAAGTGACTAAGTTAGAATGTCATTTTAGAGTTCTGAGCAATAACATAACCTTCCTATTCTCTCTTTGAGGCCATAGAAAGAAACTTAATTTCTTTGACCGCTTTCTTAGAAAGTTTCTTTATTTTTTATTTTTAATCCTCACCAGAGGATTTTTTTCCCGTTGCTTTTTAGAGAGACTGGAAGGGAGGGAGTAGGAGGGAAGAGGAGGTAGATAGAAACATTGATGTGGGAGACACATAGATCAGTTGCTTCATGCACACACCCTGGGGGGGGTGAAGGAGTGAGCAGTGAACCCGAAATCCAGGTATGTTCCACTCACTGGGAATCAAATCTATCACCCTTTGGTACTTGGGCTAATGCTCCAACCACTGAGCCAGAGCAGAAAGTTTCTATTTTTACGGCTTTTCTGAAGAATGGATGAATAAATGATGAATGGGCAAAGACAATGGATAATTATTCCAAGCCTTTGGAGAGGCAGCAATGCAGACTAGATTAACAGGTTTCAAATAGCAGTTACATGAATTATTAAATATATGATCCTGGCCAAGTTTTCAGCCTATAGTTCCTCTGTTTCCTTATATGTAAAGTGGAAAAGATAACAATCCATAAATCCTGGAGTTGTGAAGATGAAATGAGGTTAGAGGCCTGACAGGAAGTAAATCCAAGGATAAGCATGCTATTATATTTCTATTCTGTATTGCAGGGTTAATGTAAATACTTGTTTCTGGGCACGGTACTAGAAGCTAAGAACAGACAAAATGCTGAAAAAGTTCAGCTGATAGGAAAGAGCCAAGGGCTCCAAGAAAAACTGCTTCAACCAAAAGCCAACCTAAGAGAAACGACACTGGCTTTTAATTTTATGAGTTACAAAGATCTTTTCTCTTAGTTCCTTTTCTTGTTCAAGAAATAGATGGAGCTGACACAGCAGGACAGATGGGAGAGAACCCACAATGAAATGCAAGAAAGCAGCTACAATAAAAATGCTTTAAAAGTTCTTCAATTCTTAATTAGAGAGTGCTACCATTCATGAGGAATTTTTTAAGGGCCTCCAAGCTATTAAAATGGTAATTAGGTCCCAAGAAAACAAGAACCAATTCAATTACGAGCTGGATGCTTTTAAAATTTAAAGCCCTCTATTAAGAGGGTTTTAAATGAAGCACAGTTATAATTACAGGTCCTCGACCAACCTTAAAGCCAACGTGTAGGTTCCTGGCTGGCGCTGGCTCTCCCGAATGAGGTAGCTCCCCTCAGCCACACTCAGGAGCTGGTCGGCGGCTTCCCGGGAGATCCTGCCATGGAACCTGAGAAACACAGTCCATTCAGAAACCTCAGGTCTTCCTTTCTCAATGCAACAAGACAAAACAAAATCCCCACCTTTCCCTGTTGTTTTTGAGATCAAACACTGCCATATACTCAAAGGGGATTATGAACTCAACGGAGTTTAACTATGCTTGTGTTTCCCTGGCCCTGGCCAGCTTCTCTGTGGTGATAAAACAGCACCAAAGCCACTACCCAATCCATTTAACAATTACAAAACCCAAACCCACATCCAGCCAAAGGAAGACCAACCATCTCTCTTGAGCAAACATGCCATTCTGATACAGCCGGTCTGACCACATGGATATGATGAAAAATACACAGAAATGTGTCCCAATTCCTTTCTTCATACTAATAACGTTTCTCAAAATTTTGGCTCAGAGTCCATGTTGGCAATTTTCCAGGACCCTGTGTTGCCCTTAATTGGCATGATTGTCCAATAATGAGCATAATCTGCACCACTGGTTCTCAAGTCAGAAGCAATGAGCTGTAATACTTGCTTTCATTCCCTGCTAAAACCTATTTTTGATTAATGGAGAAAAAAGGGGGAAGAAGAATAAGCACACTCTTTACATAAACACAGTAGATTCATCTATAAAACACTCAGAGCTAAAACATTGAAAAAAAATATGCCAATGGTGACTGATTAATATTAAAAATATAAAATCACCTTCTATGTGATTTACAAATTATAAAGAATATTCATTACGTCCTTTTGGTAACTCAAAATAATAGAACTGAGTTATTGTTATACTGAAACTTTGCAGCTTTTACTAGTAAAACAAAACAACAGTTTCTTGAATTTGAAATAATTTGGAATAATGTATTTTAAAGGCTCTAAAATGGCACCTTAATAATAGAAATCTTATTAGGTGCAAGTGGCAACTTTTTAAAGATTTTTCTCATGGAAATGATCAGTCTCAATTTAAGTCTTAAAACGGTCCAGGATAGGTATATTCAAATCGTGACAATTAAAACAGCTAGGTTTAGCAATGGCTTGGAATTTTTGACTTTCACAAATTCCTCAATCTTTCAGAACCAGGTCCACCCTGACTCTGCTGGAGCAAGAAGATGGTAACCTATCCCTACCTTCAGATTAGCATATGGATATGTTTATTTTAAGTTTATCTGTCATCAATTAATATCAGTAAAATTTAATATCTATTTGTTTAAAAAAAAACTTAATTTAAAGAAGAATATCATTCACCTGGCCAGAATGCCTCAGTGGTTGAGCATCAGCCCAGGAATAGGTTCGATTCCCTGCACATGCCAGGGTTGCAGGCCCAATCCCTAGTAAGGGACATGCAGGAGGCAGTGATCAATGATTCTGTCATCATTGATGTTTCTATCTCTCCCTCTCCCTTCCTCTCTGAAATCAATAAAAATATATTCAAATAATAATAATAAAGAATGACATCAAGAAAACAAATTTTGTAACAAAACTTGACAATGGTATTTTAAAAATCTTAAAACTGCCCTGGGCCGGTGTGGGGCAGTGGTTAGAATGTTAGTCTCCACACCAGAGGGTTTTGGGTTTGATTCATGGTCAATTGCATGTACCTGGGTTGCGGGTTCCCGCCCTGGCCCCAATGGGGGCACCTGTGGGAGGCACCCAGTTGATGTGGCTCTCCCACATCTCTCTCACACAGATGTTTCTTTCTCCGCCCACCCCCCCCCTCCCTTCAACTCCCTTCCACTCTCTGAGAAAAACAATGGAAAAAATATATCCTCAGGTGAGGATTAATAACCCCTTAAAACTATTCATAACACTTGACTCAAAATTTCTACCCATAAAAAGCTGTATGCACTAAGATGCTTCTTGTGGTGTTACCATTAATGATACAGGCACGCACCACTAAATAACGGAGATACATTCTGAAAAACACGTTTTAGGTGATTTCATCACAGAGTGCCTGATACAAACCTAGACGGTATAGCCTACTACACATATAGGTTGTACATGGTGTACCACTATTGTATATGTGATCCATCATTGACAGAAACATCATTATGCAACATATGATTGCATAACTTATATGCAACCTAAATGCCAGAAGCAGACAAATAACTAAATTATGGTATAACCATAAAGAACACCATTGGCTCCCCAAACTCGTAAGTTCTATTCACAAGGGTCTTAAAAACTTAAATAGAATTTTAAATAATTTCTAAATTCTTGCCATATACATTATTTGATATGATATTAAGTCTTAAAAAACAAATAATTTATTTGGGGAATGATGAGATAATAGGTGATTTTTATTCTTTTCCCCAAAGGGCTTTATTTCCTTATTTCAATATTTAGAAAAATTAAGGATTTTATATTTATAACATTTTTCATAAAGTAGAAAAATGTTCATTATTAATATTAAATGGGGGAAAACCAGGCTACAAAAATTATAAGCATATCTCCATTTTGTAAAATCAATTAGAAAAATAGATCTTTAGAAGGTAATACTTCAAACTGCTAATAGTTATTTCTAGGTGGCATATATTTACCTATAGAAATTTTATAAGAAAGTTAAAAATAAAGAAAAGCATAAACAGAGACTAAACAACCCATATCCCAACAGACACGTGTGTGTGTATATATAATATATATCTATATGCTTAATATATACATGTACACACAAATATAAATGTTTCCCTCATATTTATTTGCTTACGTGGCTTTATTTATTTGCTTACATGCTTTATTTTTAACATTCTTGCATACATTTCCCCATGTTACTTTCTTCTCTATACTTGTCTTTATTTTCTGGGTTTTCACCAATTAGAATAATTACATTTATAATCAGAAAAATAATTTCAGTCATCCAAACTTGAATACCTCTTCCATTCACTAAAAGCACCCATTTAACTGTCTCTCTTACATATTCCAATCTATAAAATGTTTTCTGATAATCCATACTTACTCTCTTCCATAATACTTTGGTCTGTTTTCTACCTATTGGAAAAATAAAAAAAGAAAGTTATTTGTGCTAATGCAAATGTTCAAAAATTACTCAACATTTGTGTATGTGACAAATTAAAGCGAATATTAAGAAAAAGAAAAATCGGAGTCTGGAATTCCAGTTCTACCAGCAGACTGCCTCTTAAGACCTGTTCCTTATCTATAAAACATTTCATCTGTAAAAAGAGTTGGACTAAATTACCTTTTCATGTCTAGGCTTTACAAATATGAAAAAATATTTACATCACTTTATCCAAAAAGTAAAATACAACACCTCAGACCTTCATGCCACAATTTGTCAGAAGAGATTGTGACTTTCCTTCCACATTCCTCCTTCTGTTAACATCTCCACATAATTTTGCCCCTTTGTTCTCTCACTGGGGCCATAACCTCCCCAGCTAATCTCCCCTACTTTTCACAGCAGTGTGTGCAGTGTGTGCGGGCTATGAGATAAAGAAAGGCCTAGCAGAAAAGTTTCTGCCGAAACCGGTTTGGCTCAGTGGTAGAGCGGACTGAAAGGTCCCAGGTTCGATACCGGTCAAGGGCATGTACCTTGGTTGCGGGCACATCCCAGGTAGGGGGTGTGCAGGAAGCAGCTGGTTGGTGTTTCTCTCTCCTCGACGTTTCTAGCTCTCTGTCTCTCTCCCTTCCTCTCTGTAAAAAATCAATAAAATATATTAAAAAAAAAAAAAAAAAAGAAAAAGAGAAAAGTTTCTAAGGAATTTGTACTGGGGGAGACTGAAAGAGAATATTTGCCTGGTTCAACTAAGAAATATTTTCTGAATGAGGCATTGTTCTATCTGGAAGGGTAGGTTCATTTATGTTCAGTTCTGATCATTTTATCATTTTTATTTAAATCTGTTGTTTGAGTATGTGATACTTTTGCATAATTCAAAAGTCACAACTGTATAAAAACATGTTCTCAGAGAAGTCTCACTCCCATCCGTATACTATCAACACTGCTCCTCATCTACTCCTTATGGATAAACATTTTACCAATCCCTGGCTAATCCTTTCTGTGTTTCTCTTTTACAAAAAATGACCTTTCTTTTTTTCTTACTTGATTTCAGAGAGGGAGAAACATCAATGATGAGAGAGAATCATTGATTGGCTGCCTCCTACATACCCCACTAGATATAAAGCCTGCAATCCAGGCATATACTTTGACTGGGAATTGAACTATGACCTCCTGGTTCATAGGTTGATACTCAACCACTGAACCACACAGGCAGAGTTATTTTTTTTATTACTAAAAAGGGACCATATTTACTATATTGTATATATATTTTATATCATTCCATATCATCTCATAGAAATCTTCCTTATAGACAATTAGGTTTTTTTCCTAATACTTTACTACAAACAGTCCTACACTAAAAATGTTAGCATATGTTATTCCATATTTGTATAGATAATTCATCAGGGTAAATCCCTGTAACTTGGACTAGTGGGTCAAAGGTTAGTGAAGTATATTTTGTTAGACATTACAAAATTCTCAGAGAATTGTAGCATGGCACATTCCCATCAGCAATATATAAGTGTCTATGTCCTCACAGGCTTACTAACCAAGTATACGCTAAGCTTTTGAACTTCTGCTACTCTGAAAGGTGATAATGGTCTATGTATTTTAATTTGCATTTCTATTATTAATGAAATTGAACATCTTTTCCTATATATTGTCATATGTCCTATTTTTTTGTGAACTATGTCTGCTTACTTTTTACATCATGACTTACATCTTTCTAATGGAAAAATTAATAATACTTCCATAATGCCTTCAAACTTTGTTTTAAAAGCAAAAAATAAAACAAAAAATGGAAGAAGAATTAGCAAAAATGGAAGAAAAAAGATTAGCATCACTTAAAACTATACTGTTATGTTCTATATAATGTGTTCTCAGACCGTCCCTTAAACAGTGAGAGCTGTTTCAAGTAAGAAAAATGTTAAGAAAAATTCATTCAAGTTGCAATGTTATGGTGCCAACTAATGTAGATGGTTAATCCCACAAATAACCAAGCCAATGAAGAAGGTCCAAGTCTGGGAAACAAATAAATGAAAAACATTTCATTGCGACAGTTTCATTCCACCCACCTCATTTGTACAGGTGATTCTCCTAGGATGGGGTGCTTCCTGCTGCAGCTGATACACTACAAAAAAGAAAGCAAAACGGGTCATTTCTCTTACGTAGATAGAACTTCTGAATATATTAGAAATCACAAACTGTCTGCTTTTTTATGGTCACAAGTAAACTGTAGTACAAACCTACTTTTTAAGTAAACCTAACTAAATTTAGTGAAAGTTCAAGAACAAACACAAACTGAAAACACAAGATTGCCATTCTGTCTTATAAAAAATCAGTACTCGATATCTAGCTCTCTTCTCCATAATCTGAGTCATTTATCTCCCCCTCAACCCGTTGTTTTTGTGGCTGCATTACTTAAAACTATTCTCTGATACAAATCAGAAATGGTTATGTATTTTTAAATACATTATTAAATGTCAAACTTGAAACTAAAATTAGGCTAGATATGCCGTTTTTCTACCCTATTTATATGCAAACTTCTATCTTCAAAGATAATCTCCCATATCTTTTACATTTTATTTATTTCTTTTTTATAATCTCCCTTTAAACAAAACTCTGAGCCAACATTACTGCCACTTATTAAATTTGGGCAAATGAAGCAAATAAATAAATAAATAAATAAATAAATAAATAAATAAGGCACTGAAATAACTTCCCAAAGAAAGGATAATTTTTAGAGTATTTAAAAATGGATCAGTGGCCAAAACCAGTTTGGCTCAGTGGTAGAGCGTCGGTCTGCAGACTGAAAGGTCCCAGGTTCGATTCCGGTCAAGGGCATGTACCTTGGTTGCGGGGTGTGCAAGAGGCAGCTGATTGATGATTCTCTCTCATTGATGTTTCTAACTCTCTATCCGTCTCTCTTCCTCTCTGTAAAAATCAATAAAATATATTTAAAAAATAATAATAAAATGAAAAAATAAAAATGGATCAGTGAAAGTTATACCAATACCATAATCTTCTAGACTGTCTTTGGCTTTTTTTATTTGAAATAGAAGAAAAAAAGAATGAATAGAATGTGTGGTTATTAGAGAAAGTGTGTTTACATAAGTTTACATTTATCACTTGGAATTTATTTTCGATTTCAACATATATAATCACATTCAATTGAATTTAAGTTAATATTGTATTTAAAGACATATATAACATTACACTACATGGACATCTGGTATTGTCAGATAATAAAGACTCAGATTTTAATTACATGTCATTATAGAGGCTTCACCTCTGATTAAATTGATTCATATACAGAAACATATATAAGTACATACAATTAGACTACATATACATGCATATATAACTAGACTATAAGTATGTATGTGTGTGTCTATTACATACAATATTTGTACTGCGAACAGACACATACCACTGTCCTGTATTGCTATGGAAAGGGAATATAACATTGTGTCTAAGTATGTGAGCTCCTGGACCAGACCCTCTGGGGTTGTCTCAACACCGGGCTCTGCTACTAACACTGCATACTGTGCTTCACTGTTCTTCACTTGCAATAATAAGGGGATAAAAATGATTTCTATTTCATAGGATACGGAAAGGATTAAGTAAGTTACTATGTTAGACAAAACAGTCCTTGGCACAAAGTAAACATTCAGCAAAGATTAGTTGTGATAGTATGTAGATGACTGACAGTAACACCAAGCTCCTTTGGAGTACTGTTTGATCACCAGCATGCATCTTAAGTTCATCACCCAAATAGACCACGGTAATGCTATCACTGAAAAGGCACAGAGAAGATACAGCTTTACTGTTTAAAAATCAAAACATAAACAAAGCCCTTCCTCATTATTAATGACTGAAATTCTATTATAGAAATGTTTTTCTTCCTGGTAGCAAAAATCCCTAAGAAAGACAGCATATTAAAACAGTTTTAGATACCCATATTTTACTGTGTGGGTTCCTTTTTCCTTTTTCAAAAGTACTCTTATGAATAACTTTTTATGGGTTAAAAAGATAATATGAAGGGAGGAATTCTGAGATGGGGAAAAGCCATCCAAATCCCATCGAGCTAGACATAGAAAGTAAAAAACAAACAAACACCTTAACAAGTTGCAACTTCTGACATTAAGATTTAACTGTCCCCTTTGGTTTTACAAATGTAAATACTGACTAGAAGTTAATAACCAGAACACTTTGAATAGTTGCTGTTTTGCATTTCCCTCCTAACACTGACCGACAAAACTCATTTCTTAAAAATCTCAATCCATTTAGATTTTATTAACATTTTGAGAATTTTTTTAATTACAAAAATTTAATTCACATCACAGAGAAAATGATGAATGCATAATGGTTTGTCAGTGTTGAATAATGTCGTAGAATTTATTGTCAATTATCAATTCTAACCAAGATATAAATATATAGATATAGATATATAGATATAGATATGATATAGATATATAGATATATAGATATAGGTCTGACCTATTTTTAAAATGGGCTTTTCCACTTGGTTTTAACAGTTTAATCATAACATTTCCTTGACGTGGAATGAAGTTTTTTCATTTGATGGTCAGGAGATAAAGTCTACTCTAATAATTTCCTCCCCGTTTCTACTATTAAAATGATGGAGGAGGAAGCTTAGGCATTGAAGGCACTAAAAGAAACTGTAAAATCCAGTAGCAGTATTCTCACCCCCCAAAAAAGACATGTGCCATTTTTAAAGAAAAATGGTGGCTACGGGAGGACGTATGAAAATAGAAAAAAATAGACATTGCATATACTACATATAGTAATCAATATTCTTTAGGGGGAACAAAATCACCACCATGATTCAATAACAGTCTGAGACCACATAAATGCTCTTACATAAAAAAAAAATGTGTAAGGCACAAGTCAGAGCAAGGGAACAAAGGTAAATTGAAAACCGAAAAATGCAGAAAATAATTTTAAGTAGGCTTCTGCCAATGAGATTATGAGATAAAATCTTTAGGAGATTAAAGAACATTAGTCATTTTTATACATTCTACACTCTCCAGAAACCAAAGGCACCAGAAGGGATGTGGGGAAATGCACATATGGCAGTATTTCAGAAATTGTTCATATTTTGCTTACTATAATTAGCCCAAAGTAACAACCTATTAAAATAAAACTCTCCATTTGTTCTGGGGATATAAAATCAACAAGAAACTGAATTGCTGCTTCTTCAGTTAGCAAATTTCAGAAACATACAAATATCAAAGTTAGAATAACTCAGCATGTACAAGATGTTAGTAATCTTTATTTAAAGGAAAGGTTTCTTAGGTTGCTTTTTCAACTTTATAGATAACAAACAAAAGCATACAGTACTAGTTTTTGCAATAGTGCATTCATAAATTTTTTTAAAACTTCATTGATTATATTTAACCTTATTTCTACTTTTTAAAAACATCTTTTAGTTGATGAAACCATATTTTCTAGAAAATAAAGAAGAGAAAATAAAAAACTAAGAACCTAGACTTGAAGAAATTTTTATTCTAAAGCAAAGTTTAAAGAGCAATACAGAACTCAAATGCCTCTCTTTTATATTGGGGAAGACAATTTCTAAAAAAAGAAAGATTGCTTTTCTTTTGCCATTTTTATCCATTCCTTTTATCAAGATAGCTTCCTGATTTAATATCATTAACAGTATCCTTCTTCCTATAAAGCATCAAGATCTGAGAATAAATAATTAAACAGCCTGAATTCTTAGCTAGCTTCTCCTTGAATTAATTTATCAGCCCCTGTCAACAAGCAGTCTCAGATTCCATGATATGGAATTGTACGCAGGCTCAGGAGGATGAGTTGCATTCCACATGTGCAAACCATGTACAGGCTGTATAAACACTCCTGTTTCCCCACAATTACTTCTGTTATTCCAAAATCCTATTGGGAATTAATTTCTCAATAACAGCAACAAAATGGAATGACTTCCTATTTAATGATCCTAGTATTTTTATATTACTTATAAAGCACTAAAATCCACCCAATTTAAAATTATTAGTATACTTACAGTAAGATTTCCAAACAGGAGGTCTATATTCATCTGTATCTGAAAAGAATAAACATCAAATTAACATTACCAAACATTTATATTTTAAATGAGATATCTTAATTAATTAATTTAATATATATATTTGTTGAGGCCTATTTGTCCTACACATTGTGCTAGGCATATTCAAAGGTATTTTTTTTTAGTCTTGGTCCTCATTTTCTTGGAGTACAGTTTCAAAAATGTTCAAAGAAAGTCACTCCACTTATTTAACTACTTATCACAAAAATATCAAGATTAATTTTTCCTGCTGGCACTTATTACTTACAGGTAGTCAGAAATGTACTTGGATATACCCTGCCCCCATCACATTTGGGGGATTCCAGGATAACTGGTTTTCCTAACATCAGGAGAGAAGAGCAGGAAGGTACAGATCTTAGTCCTCATACATCCTGAACAACCAAAGCCAGGAAATGAGAAACACCTCAATGGAAGAGAATGTATCTAGGGAGCCACAAAGACCATAAGGTGAACATCTGCTCTTCAAGTCCATTTCCCCTCCCTCTGCCTGAGTACAGAAGTAGGAGACAGTGTGAAGAGGCAGTAGAAAGAGATGCAAATGCAAATATGTGGGAGAGATGGGGGAGTCAGAGAAGGAGAGGGGCCAGTGTGGTCTGGCTTCAAATCAGTAAAGCATCACTGAGGCATAACACTGCCAGTCATAAATTCCGCCTGCAAGCCCATGTAGCAGCATTTTGGTGGGGGAAGGTGGGGCTCTGCTAGCATCTGACATGAACCCATTAAGAAATTTCATGCTAAAAAATCTGACCTTTAAGAAGGCAAGACAATTCCTAGAAAGTTTCTTGAGAAGTCTGAATCTAGTATATGTAGCTAAAGTAAAAATGTCCATAGTCTCAAAACATTCAGCTCCCAATTCCCAATCTTTAAACGCAATCTCACACTTCATGTATGATGTGCAATTACAAACCCACAAATACTTGTAGTCACTGGACTACAGAAAGACTAATAATACTGGGAATAAGAACACAAAAGGGAAAGTATAAGTCATGTAGAAATTGCTTGGCACTCAGTAGAAGTGTTCAAATATGTGTTCTTAAAGAACAAATAAAACATTACTTGAATAAACGAATTAAGGAATAAAGTAATGCAGCAAATGCAGTTGACTCTTATTATTCACAATAGCTATATTCTATAAAGTCACCTCAAGCACTGAATGACTAAATACTGAACCACTGCTCCTAGGAGTAACATAAGGTAAGGTTCCTGCATGCCTCTGGCCATATTTTCATCAACCAAACAATATACTAGCTGTGCTAGTTAATAATGCAGATTTTTTTCAATAGATGGAGCTACACCTATGTTGATATATATGGGATTTGATATATATGCTATTTTGTTGTATTGACAGCAAGCTTCCAAACTTCATATGTCAAATTTACTGAAGGTGTTAATATCATAGATATTTTTACGCTTAAAAATGTTGCGTTTCATGCCAAAAAAAAAAAAAAAAAGAGCATTTGTGTGAAGTTTTAATCCATTACTTTATTTTGAAGAAAAGTGCTGCTGAATACTTCGGGAAGCTTATGGTGAACATGTTCCATCTCAAGATACCTGTAAACGCTGGTTTAAATGCTTTAAAAGTGATGATTTCGATGTGAAAGACAAAGAACAGCCAGGTCAACCAAAAAAGTTTGAAGACCAACAATTACAAGCATTATTGGATGAAGATACATGTCAAACTCAAAACAACTTGCAGAAAGATTAAATGTTGCTCAGCAAACAATTTCCGATTGTTTATAAGCAATGGGAATGATTTTAAAGGAAGGTAAGTGGGTGCCACATCAACTGAACGAAAGAAAAATGGAAAACCAAAAAGTCATCAGTAAAATGTTGCTTCAATGGCATGGAAGAAAGTCTTTTTTGCATTGAATTGTGACTGGCGATGAAAGTGGATTTATTTTGCGAATCCCAAACACACAAAATCATGGATTAATCCAGGTCAACCATCAACATCGACTGCAAGGCCAAAACACTTCTGAAAGAAGACAATTATCTGTGTTTGGTGGGATCAGGATGATGTGGTGTATTACGAGATTCTACAACCAGGTAACACCATTAACATTGATTGTTACCAACAACAAATAATCAATTTGAACAACACTTTGATTGTGAAATAATCAAAATGTGCCAGAAGACAAGGCAAAGTAATTTTGCTTCATGATAATGCACCATCACACACTTCAAAACCAGTTAAAGACACTTTAAAAGATCTTGCCTGGGAAGTATTAACCCACCCGCCGTATTCACTGGACCTTGCTCCTTCAGATTACCACTTGTTCCACTTAATGGCACATGCACTTTCTGAGTAGCACTTCAAAAGATATAAAGAAGTGGAAAATTGGGTCTCTGAATGGTTTGCCTCAAATCAAGAAAAGTTCTATTGGGACGGTAACCACAAATTACCTAAAAGATGGGGAAATGTGTAGCTAGCAATGGACATTACTTTCTAAAAAAATATATATATTTTATTGATTTTGTACAGAGAGGTAGGGAGAGAGATAGAGAGTTAGAAACATCGATGAGAGAGAGTCATCGATCAGCTGCCTCTTGCACACCCCCTACTGGGGATGTGCCCGCAACCAAGGTACTACATGCCCTTGACCGGAATCGAACCCGGGACCCTTCAGTCCCCAAGCCGACGCTCTATCCATTGAGCCAAACCGGTCCCGGCTGGACATTACTTTGAATAAAAGCACTTTTGATGTTTCTCTTGAAATTGTGTTTTCTTTGATTACAAAATTCACATTAACTGGTATACCAAGTATTACTTCATATTCAGTGTGTTTCTGTTTAAAAATATATATTTAGTGCCCTAGCTGGTTTGGCTCAGTGGATAGAGCATCTGCCTGAGTATTGAAAGGTCTCAGGTTCAATTCCGGTCAGGGGCACATGCCCAGGTTGTGAGCTCAATCCCCAGAAGAGGGTGTGCAAGAGGCAGCCAATCAATGATTCTCTCTCATCACTGATTTATCTCTCTCTTTCCCTCTTCTGTGCTCTATGAAATCAATAAAAACTATTATTGTATTTATTTTAAATATTTAAAAATATTTAGTACATATTATTGATTAACATTGAACTCACAGCCAGCATTAAAATTCATGCCTCAATAAAGTTTATCTAACATGTGTGTTTTCTCAATAAGATACAACACAGACAGCACTTTGACACTATGCTTGGGGACCTTTTGAACAGCAAAATCACCAATAAAAAACCCACAAAATTAAAAAAATGTGACACTGAATAGACTATGAAGAGGACACTTGTTTACAGTAAAGAGTTAAAACAAAGACGGCAGAGGGCCACCTTGTTGGACCTCAGCTGAGAATATGCAGATCATGCAACTCAAATATTTTGCCACTCTGTGATCATTGGCTAATGAACACAAAAATGTCACAAGTGTTTATCTAAAAATTACAAATAAAAGCTAGCAAATTTGCAAATACATAAGCATGAATAATGAGGATTAACTACTACATATAAAAGAGCAATTATTTAAGAAAACTGCCAACTCAGGTGAACCTGCTTAGTAATGACCTAAAGTTAGGATGAAATATGGTTTTAATGCAGTGTGTGTGTGTGGGGGGGGGGGGGTGTTTAATTATATTGGATTTATCGTAAATTTTAATAAATTCAATTATATATTTTAAATATTAAAAAATTGTATGTGAGCATTCAAGTCATTTTACGATTTCACTCATGACATGAACGCTATCCTAAACTGGTTCAGGGATTAACAGAACGCACATTCACTCCTCCCTTGGCAACTGTCCATATTCCATGTGCATCTCAACTTCCTTTCCAGGTTCCAAACAGCATAAGCTGCAGTGACCAGGCACCTCTTAACCCTCCATGTAGAAGACACCATCGTGGCCAGGGAGGAGGACATGGACCAGACTGGGGCTGGAGTAAAGAACGGCACATCATCCTATGGAGTCTGGTTTCACCCTAAGCTCCTCAGAGGCAATTTTACTTGCCTGTGGGCCTCAGGCTAGCCAGAGAGCAACCAGTGGGGCTTTGGATCACTTGGTATCAGTCGACTTGGGAAATCAACCATGAATACATAATAAAGCCCCAATAAAAACTCTGAACTCAAGGCTTGGGAGAGCTTCTTTGGTTTGAAATACTCCACGTGTACAATTCTATAACACATCAGCTGTATACTGCATTGTGTGCTCACCACCCGAAGTTAACCCTACCAGACCGCTGTACTCCTTCCATCACCATTTCTCTCCCTTTTACCTTCTCCTGCCTCCACCCACAGCCCTTTCCCTCTGATAATCACCATACTATTGTTTGTGTATGAGGATTTTTTTTTTTTTTGCTTAATCCCTTCATAGTTTTCACCCTGAAACTTATATAAATTTATTAATCAATTTCACCCCAATAAATTCAATTTTAAAGAGATAATATACTCCATCCATGTGGTCAGAATGTGCACCTGACTTCATGGAGAGACAACAAGGGAGGCTTCGAGTTTTGTACTTCTGGACCCTGCCTTACATGCTTCTTCCTTTGGCTGGTTTCAGTCTGCATCCTTTCTTTGTAATAAATCATGACTGTCAGTGTAAAAGTGTTCAGTGAGTTCTGTGAGTTCTTTTAGCAAATTATCAAAACCGAGGCTGCTTTGGGGGAAACCCCTCCAATTCGCAGTTGCTGTCAGAAGTGAGAGAAGTCTTGGGACTGGCTCTCTAACTCTGTGGTTGGCCCTAACTCTCTGCAAACTCTGTGCAAACCCTGTACCCATGAGCACTGAGGGCCTCCTGCAGATTGCTTTGACTTTGGTGAAGGTGACTGAGAAAGACATAGTCCTGTCTCTGGGGAACTATGTATCTAGTTCTAAATAGGGTTTTCTTAGAGGAACACCAACCTTTCTTTATAAAATGTAATAGAAATATCTAAAATGGGAACAGCAGTAACAGATTTGTTGGAGGATTAAATCAAGTATCATATATATTTTCCTTATATATCTACACAGGTTT